CTCCCTCCCTTCCTCCTTCACTATGGGGGCCTGCCCACCCCAGCTCCCAGCCCTTTAAAAAAAAGCCTCAGTGCTCACCAAGTGCTGCCTGGCAGGGGGTGATCCTTGCTGCACCCCACTGCATGGGGGGCTCTGCACAAGACCCCCAACCCTCCCCCCCCAACAGACTGAGTCAGTTATTAGATAAGAAGTGCTAAAGAGACCCCACTAAAGCTCCCAATCTATACAGACATTCAGTGAGCTAATGCGATGCCTCTTCTGGGCACATGCTGGACTCAGTCCAGAGTGCACAGAGTTTAAAGTAAAGCTCCAGGGTTTTTTTTGTTTTTTTGTTTTTTTTAAATGTCTGTAAGCAGCCTTAAAGATTTTGCCAATAAATGTAGGTGCCTGCAGACTGAGGCACCAAGGCAGTTAGGCAGGCATTTTTTAAGTAGCTCGCTTGCATTTAGACACTTAATTTCCTCCAGAAATTGCTCTTTAGGAACAAATTTTTTGGCTTTAGCCCTAATTTTCTGACTAAAAAAAGGCCAACTCCCAGAAAAATCTGTAAAAATCTGTATAATTACAGCTGCCTGCACAATTTTCAAAGGTGAGTTATTTTTTTTCCCCAGGAGATACTCCTCCTGGGGAACATTGTACCCACCAGGAGATATTCCTTCTGTAAACAAACATCATACCCTACTTTTGAGTGCAATATTTTTTTTATACTCGAGGCATGTTCACAAGAGTACTAGAACCAACGACCCTGTCAGACAGTCCGCCTACTCAAAGGCCAAAAAGATATTCACTCATGCATGATTACCTACATGTTTTTTCTTCTGGACTGAAGAATGATAATGTAATAGCAGTTGCTGATGGTTTATTTGCAAACTGGATAAGTGTCCAATAGGAGATGGATTGAGACCACCATTAAGTTTGCACAAAAATGCAAGCATCACTTTTTAGTTGCTACCTCTCTGATCTGAAATCAGAGACACTGACTTAGAAGTGAAAGGTTAGTCTAATTATTTAACCCTTAGCCTGTAAAAACTTAACAATTAAATAACACTATTTTCTTTCACATGTATGCAATGCGGTGCTTAACAAAATTCTTTGAGCTTACCACTTTTACCACCAGTTGGGCAGTTTTGTCCCAAAGGCTCTTTATATATTGCCTACCATTACCATGATAAAGAAAAGAGCATCTAAAGAACATGGACTAGAAACTCATAACGTCTTAAAGCGCAAGTTTTCCTTACCCCTCACAATCAACTATTTCAGGGCCTTCAAATGAAAAAGGATCCGTCTTGTCTGGTTCTGACTTCATCTTGTAGGTTTTTGTCAGGACTGAATTAGTAAAGTAGTCATTGGTCCCAAAGTGGAACTCTAATGAGAAAGACTTAAAAAAAAAAATTATTATTGTTAGAATTCAAATCTAATTTGATCTTTATAATTTTGAACTAATACAGGGAAGAGCAAGGCAAAGTTTAAAAGCGTCCCACTACGCAACAAATCTAATTCTACTACTGTTACAAACTGCTGGGGCTCAAAGTTACTTATACAAGACTTGAAAATGCTAAGCCAACTAAGTAAATCCATTTAGGTTTGTCCCCAGATGTAGAAGAGAGACAGAATGTGTCAGTCTTCCCATCTGGGACTTAGTGTAGCACTGGAATGGAACCCATTTCCAGGAAGATACTGTCAACAGGTTACGAACAGTGCAAAAGGCAAAAAGAAAAACACGTTGATAGAGTCTGTCCTAAAACTAAACATTACAATGGCGTAACTTTCAAAGCTTTACTGCAATTTTGTTTAAACTAAGCGATTACTTTAGTTTGCAGATATACAGTTCTTCCACCCCTTAGTACATGGTCACAGTCTTCCTGAGACCAATTCCCATTCCAAAGCTCTTGCATGATTCAGAAAATCTGCTCAAGATATACTGCAGGGAAGATTCACTACGGGCAACCAAGGCCGCATAATGTACAAACAGGAACTCTCTCAGAACCAGTTCTTTTAACCTGGTTTTCATTCTAAACCTTGCAATGTTGAACAAGCCTCCATCTAGTCTGGTTCAAAGATAAATGCCATCATTGCTGCCCTTGAATGGATTAAGAAGCAGGAATGAAGAGCAGAGGTTAAAGAGCACAGAGGCTAAGGCATCGTTTCACCCTGTTGTTGATGTCACAAGCATTGGATTCCTCATTTTCATAATACTACAGGTGCCTTCATACCTTGATGTAATGGAGTAAATGATACTCAACAGTTTGGGGGAGAGCAGCAGAGCAGGGGATACAGTTTCTTCAGAACAGTAAAAAGGCCCTGTCTGTTAACCGTATCAAAGGCCTGTGTCAATCAAGAAGACTCCATACATTGGTATTTGTTTTTAATACGTTTGACCGAAGATATCATATCAATGGTAGAGCATCCTGAGCCTCACAGAATCTATCCTGAAAGTCATTCACCTAGAGATTGCAGCTTAAGCAGCATGATGCAAGTGACAGTTTTTATGACAATATTCAACAGGAGGTACCTATATAGTTGTCAGAATTGCTTATAGCCCCTTTGGTTTTGTACAACTGTACAACCCGATCACCTTCAAAATCCTGTGGTACTACTTCCTCTTTTCAACAGAGCAATATAACTTCATGGAGCTTTTGAACTAACTCACTGTTGGCACATTTGTAGATTTCAGCAGGCAGACCATCATTTCTGGATGCTTTGGTGCCAGGAATCCATTTACTGTCTTTCTGCAGATCTTCTCATGTAGGCTCAATGTCCAAATCCATCATTACTGCAAACTGTGGTAATCCTTCAAGTTCTGCGAGTTTGATTTCAGTCTCTATGGAGCATACATTTCCATAGTGTTCAATCCAATGCTTGAGTTGTTTTTATCCATCAGTGGTGGTATTTCCATTTAAGTCTTTAGCCAGAGCTGTTTTCTTCTCAACTGGACCAACTGTTCATTTGATGCTTTTGTACATTCCGTGGCTATCACCTGCATTGGCTGTTTCCTGAATATCACAGGGTTTCAGCCAAAAATCTTGGGCACACCTCTTAGCCTCCTTTTGTATATCTCTTCAATCCTCTCTCAAGGTTTTCTAGAATTAGTGTTGGGAGATTTCCTATAATTGGTTAGCACTGTCCTTTTGTTCTCCACCTGAGGTAAAAAGGTTTCAGAGTCCTCTTCAAGCCAGTTTGCATTTTTCCCCAAACACTGTTATAGTACCATTGTACATGTTAAGTTTTTAAGCTTTCCCAAGCCTTGGAGGCTGAGTTGTGAGACAAATCTGATTTTACAACTTCATTAAATAGCCTGCATTTTTCTGTCTTTAGGTTTGCTCATGTCTTTCTGAGGACAACTTGTAGTTTTGCTATGATGGATCTTCTTGATGTTGATTCTAACTTTGCAGCAGACTAAGGGATGGTCAGTGTCACAGTCACCACTGTGTTAAGACCGCTTGTGCAGGATCTCTTTCAGGTGGTTGCACCTGGTCAGTACTAAATCTAATTGGTGCCAGTGCCCTGACCTTGGATGTTTCCACAATGTCCGTCTTGCGATTTTTCTCAACAAAGTAGTTGTTGGTAAACACACAGATTTGGGCTTGCAGAGTTCTAATGCTCACTGGCCATTTTCATTCATATTACAATTTCCATGTTTGCCCAGAATACCAAACCAATTCTTAAAACTACATCAACAGAGGTTGCCAAGTACTATAATGGTCTCATTTCTGTGAGCTCTCTCAACCTCTTCAAGCTGCTGGTTGAAAATATTACCCTTGTCACTAGCTTGAAGGGTGGGTACACACATTAACCAATGTGATGAAGGTGTTCCACGTACTCTGAGCATCATGAGTCAACCAGATACAGCAATGGAGTTTTCACAGAAAGATAGCACGCTGCTTCTAATGGCAAAGCCTACTCCCTGCTCTCTCCCTTCTCCTGCTGGCTTCCTATGCCAGAATATGGTGCAATTATTCTCTTGGATAGAACCTCATCTGAAAGGGTAATTTCCAATAATGCAGCAATGTCAATTCTGAATCTAACCAATTCATAGGTAATTCAGGGTAGTAACAAGACTAAAAAAGGGCAAGAAAAACTGAAGATCATAAAACCTGGAATCAATAACTGGTAGCATACCTGTATCTTGAGACTCCCTCCAAAAC